AGAGTTTCATAATGTACAGCCTTTGTTAGAGATGCCTCCATGTCTGGGAAGACAGCAACCCCCAGAGCCACAGCCTGGTGCATTTTCTGGAAATGTACTAGGGCTTGAAGCTGTTGCACTGACCTAAATAAGGAAGACCATAGCGAACCCCAAACAACCTGATGTGCAATAAAAATTAGATAGAATTCATACAACATGATGTCATAGATTCTACAATGCAGAGTCCAATGGGACAACGTTAACATTTGCTATTTGCGAGGGTGTATGTTGCACTTATTTTACACTGAGCTAGATTCTTATCATACTTAAATATATAAGGATTTTGTTCCTTTGCAAACATGACCAGAGTCAGAAACCAACCCACAACAAAACTGCACAACCAAGCTGTTGTCCACAGCAGCAGTGCATGGCTTGGGTTGTACTGAATACGGAAACGTCCCCAATTTAGAAAGGTGATAAATCATAGCAAGATTTGTAATTGAAGAAATCTTACAAGTCTTTTTACATTATGGGTTTTTGGGAGGCCTAAAAATTGACAATGTAACTATCATTCTTATAAGACAGATCTTATTCCTCAAGAACAGTTCATGGGCCTTGGCCTTTATTTCAGTAGAACTACTTGAAGAGTAAGGTACAGCTCAAGGTGAATAAGGATATCAGAATCGAGCCCAAAGTCTTTGAAGATTGAGTGAAGGAAACCCATTAAAACAATGTAAAGAATGTCAAATTTTCAAGCATGATTTTGCATGTGAAAATTGTTAGTACATACAGTGTTCCTTTAGTAAATACACTACAGGAATTATCTACTAGGCAAAATGGAGGGGAGGGATTAAAAGGTTCTCCCATTTTTATTTTATTCAAACTTTTTTTCCTCTCTCTCTCCTTTTAAACATATTACAAATATGAGAGTACAGTCCAAAGATAAAAAGTTTTGACAAAGTAAAGATCATATTTGTTTGGCATAAAAACAATGAAAGAATCTTGAGAGAATCTTTTTTTCCTTATTAGTATAACTTGACATATTTAGGATCATTTTTCCTGAATATTTGACCCAAAGGTTAGTATGGAATATGGTTCCACAAAGAAAAAAAAAATTAATTTCCATCATATGAATACAACCATATCACCATATGGTCCTACATCAGCGGTGGACAATCTGCGGCCCACGGGCCGAATGGGGCCCATCAGGGTAATCTGATTGCAGGCCGTGAGTCATTTTGCTGACATTGACCATCCACAGACACCACCCCCGCAGCTCTCAGTCCCTTTGCCTGTAGGCACCACTTCCCACAGCTCCTATTGGCCAGGAACAGAGAACCGCAGCCACTGGGAGCTGCGAGGGGCAGTGCCTGCGGACGGTCAACGTCAACAAAATGTCTTGCGGCCTGCAATCAGATTACCCTGATGGGCCGCAGGTTGCCCAGTGGTGTTCTATGTCGTACTGGAGAAATACTACTATAGGAATCAGATAATCTTTTACTGGGAGACTGTTAGAATCTTTATTTGAATAGGAAATATAAAAATAATTGCCATATTGAGAAAACATTTATAAAATTGTTGCAAATACTAGAAACAAAGGATAGCAATGGTAAAGTTCATTTTTAATGTATTAGTTTCTTACAGTTACAGTGCATAAGTATGTCTGTGGCATCTGGACAACTCTAAACATAGTAATGAAAAGTAATCTGATCTGATTAGCCAATTAAATATAGTTCAAACAGTCATTAGACCATTTACTGCTAGTGAGTTTCTTAATTATGTTTCTCAAATTTTATTAGATTTTCCAATAATAAAATGTATCAAGTACAATACAGTTCTTTAGCCACTGGGGATATCTTTCATAAGAGCATCCTATTAAGTTATCTTATTAAAAATCTAAACTCCTTAAAGTGGTTCCAATAATGTAATAGTCAATACTGTTGCCTAAGCCAGATTATCTCAGTTCTTCAGTTCCTGTGCTAGATACAGGAAAGGACAGGGAGTAGGTGGTTTTAAGACAGATTTGTGCCTCCCTAATTCTAGGCCCAGTCCCCAGTGCAACTTAAGAGTAAAGACATCTGTTCAAAATGGCTCTGACTTGTAACAGCCTTCTATGAGCTGTAGTGCCAGCACAGGCTAGGTGAAGTGAAGTGTGCTCCAGTCTAACGCCTTTCCCTAGGCAATCCCAATTAGGTATAATTATAGGTTAGAATTAGAATACCTGCAACAAGGATCAGGAAGGAAACAGCATAGACCCATTACATTTTCTCTATGATGACTATGGAACTCCATTATAATGGGTTTTTCTTCCGTGACCTTTTAGTCTCCCTTTACACTGGCTGCTGTAAGGGACTGTTGGGTTTTCTGTCTTTTGTATTATTAATACAAACTGTCTCTACTACAGTAAAGAAAATACATATCTTCCGTTAAAAATAAACAGATGTCAAATAATTTAAATAGAGTTTTCAGACCATAAACATTTAATTCAACTGCCAGGGCACAATTCTATAATTTTATGAGCAGCAGCTGATTTGAAAAACATTTACATCATTAGTTCCTTGTTCAGCAAAATGCATGGCTTCCAATCTCATATAAAACCAAATTAAGGAAAATAGCTTTTCTGATCTATCAGACCCATGCTTAGAAGAGGCTTTAAAAACAATTACTGTATTCTGTTCCAATGAGTACTCTCTTCTCTTTCCTCATAGTCCTTATCTTTACTATTCTAATACCTAATATAACACCTAACTCTTACATAGCACCTTTCATTGGTAGATCTCAACATGTGTCACAATCTTTAATGTGTTTATCCTCACAACACTCCTATGATGTAGGGAAGTATTATCAATGCACATGAAAGGTTCTTCAACAAGACGCTTCTTCCACAGTATCCACAAGATGTCACCATAGTCAAAAAAAATACCATACACGTATAATATTGCATGTTCTTTTTGTCTGAACGAGGGAAAGATTTTTGTAATAAATTGACAACTTGATCCAGATAATATAGTCAACAGAATAACTCCCATGTGCATATGGATTGAACAAACTAAACAAAACAGGATGTGCAAGCAAGAGATAACAGGAAGTTATTTCTAAGAAGGATAGAATGTACGGATTTACAATGGATAAAGCAATACCTTTACAAGTTTTCAGGAAATTACCAAGTATTTAAAGTACTTGGTAAAGCAGCAGGAATGGTAAGACATCAGACAGCTTTTACAGATGCCAACTTAGTTAGAAGGTACTGAAAAAGTTTATGAATTGTAGAAAAGAGCATTTAGAAGTAAGAAATGATGAAACAAAATATAGTGCTTTCAAATATCACCAGGCTGAAGGAATGGCAGAAAGAATTGTGAAGGGCATTAAAGAAAACCCACTCATCATCCACATTAGAACAATGGGAACATACAGAACAAAGAGAAAAATTCATCAAAGACTTCAAGGACTTTGAGAAAAAATTAATCATTGAACAAATTATCGTCTGTTAGCCTACCTATTGCAAGAATGAATGGTTTAGCGAGATGACTGTTAGATGAAGAGAATATGCTAAGAAAATGGAGTTAGGATTTTAGATTTATGATTTCCTTCTGCTGGAAAAGGTGCCATACAGCATAGTCAGTCTTCTCTTAAAGAGTGGATCTACCCGGAAAAGTGATTTTGCTGAACTGGCAATTTTCTGTTTCATGTTCATTGTCTGTCAGTGATTCAGTATCACATATACTAAGTGCACAAGTAAACTAGTGATTTTCTAACTCCCAGTTCTGCAATTTCACTTGGACTACACAACAATGAACCTGGGTGCTTCCTTTCATATGCATCATTACCAATAATAAAAGGTTCTACAGGCCTCAGTAACATCTGTGCCAACCAACCATGTCTTCAGAGCATGCACTGGATGATCCCAATGCCACTCTATTGCCTTAAATAGATTTACAGGGCAGTATTGATTGACATTTACAAAACAGTACTGTATATTATTCACAAAAAATTTAACACATCTCATTCTCTCTTTGGTGTATTGGCTGAGTGCTAACAGGAGTAAAAATTAGTAAATTATTTGTGTCACTCAAGTAACAAACAATGACCACCACTATATGCAGGACCAAATCTGTTATATGGAGTAATTTTAACCATGCCTTTTCAAGAGGAAAAACAGAAATATAAACAAGAAAGAAGCTAATCCTGCTAGGATTGTTAAGAGGCCTTTAGACTAAAGGTAAAATTTTCAAAACTATCTAGATGTCTTAGGAGCCTACATCCCATTTTCATAAGTGAATTATGTACTTGAAATGTAAAACACTGACTTTGAATGGGAAAAGGATAATTAAGAAAGGGAAAAAACATAGGATCCATAAGGAATAAAAAAATTATAAACAAAAAGGGAAATTAGGCTAAGGAGATAGCTGTCTTTAAAGATGCCTAATATATTCAAAAATTTGGAGGGACTCATTATTATTTATACTTATGTAACCTGTCTGCTCAGACAGGCACTCTGTCCCCCTCTGGTGGTGACTAGGCCAGCTAGAGATTGATGAGCCTGCTATAGTCTTGGCTAAGAGACATGTCTTTGTGTCAGCTCATGTAGTAGAAGCTTGTGCATTTGGCTCAAGAGAGCACAGGTTTGATCCCTGCCGATGACATCCAAGGTGGTCGGCGTTACACTCACTAATACAAAGAGGAGAATGCTGCTTCATGCAGAAGGTTAGACTAGATGATCCAGAAGGTCTTTTCAGTCCAATCATCTCTGATTTTATGATAGACTCACTTATAAGTCAAATAGTAAACTTCAGTTAAAATTACCTGCCTTTGATTTCATTAAAATAAACCAGGTTCCCAAAGTACATTTAGATCCAGATACAATTCTTGAGCTCATTTGGAAAGTGTATTTTTTAAATGAACTGATTACATTTACGTTTTAAAGATTTATATTTGCATAGCAGATAAGATACATAAATGAGGGCTCTTCTTTCACATAGATTTGATTCTAAGACATATATATATATATATTAATAACTTACCTTGCCAGCTATCATTGCACACACACAGCTTCTCGCCTGTCAGATCACAGTAGCCATGATCTGGGCTCCCACAGTTAGCTTTACAGTATGGAATATCACAGGCTTCGCCTTTCCAATACTTGTCACACTCACAGTACACTTGGCTTGGAATGGAAACACTAGTTGTACACTTCCCATGCCCTGAGCAATTGTTAGGACAGGAATTAATGCTGTAAAAAATAAATATATAAAATAAGGCAACCAAGAAACGAGAGAGCTGGGTAGAGTTTTTCATACGACACATTACAATCATAATTTGCATTTGCAGTATACAGCTCCTTTTATTTGAAAATCTCCAATCACTGATACAAATGTAGTAAATATAATCACCATTTTACAGACAGGGGATCTGAGATGCACTAAGGTTAAATTACTCACTCGGCTTCCACACAGTCAGTGACAGAATCAGAACAGAGGCCTCCTTGTGCTGCACTATACAGGATTGGCTCTGCACCAAGAACTGAATCTAAACTTCACAAAGATCCATGAAAGAAGGAAAAACACAAAGGCTAAAATTCTTTAGACATTGTTTAACCGGGTCTTTATATTCTAAATAAAACTAATGTTACCTTTTAATAACCAGTGGAGGGTAACAGAAGTTGTTTTATACAGGGGCGGCTCCAGCTTTTTTGCCGCCCCAGGCGGCGAAGGGGAAAAAAAAAAAAAAAAAAAAAAAGATAGAGCCACGATCGGTAGCACTTCGGCGGCAGCTCTACCACGCCACTTAATTCTTCGGCGGCAATTCGGCAGCCGGTCCTTCCCTCCGAGAGGGAGTGAAGGACCCGCCGCCGAATTGCCGCTGAAGACCCAGACTGCCACTCCTTTACATTGGCTGCCCCAAGAACCTGCTTCCTGCGCTGGTGCCTGGAGCCGGCCCTGGTTTTATATTATCCTTCCAATAAAGTTAACCCTGTGGTGTGTGGAAGCCTCTGTTTCTGTAATTTGCTGTGTGCTTTAACTCAGTTTTGGATCTTCCCTATATTTATTTTGTTAACAGTATAAAGTGTTTCCATCACGTCTGCCAGGATGGCTTTTTCATATGCTTTAATATAGTTTCTTATTTTTTTTCTCAGAACCGTAAAGCCATGATACAAAGCCCCTGTTATAAAATATTTATAATTGAATGTACCTGTGCTGAGCAACAAATTAAAGCAAAATAGCTTTCCTCCCGCCCTCCCATCCTTCCAAAATTAAGGGTTTTAAAGTTTAATTAGTGCTAGTGAAAAGGGCCAGATTGACCGCACTGATGTGGCATTCAGAAGGAAGAAAAAGATCTGGAACAGAAGGTGCCTTTCGTCTCCTTGCTGTGTGGTGACTCTGAAAGCAGAAAGTCCTGCTCATTGTGTATTGCCAGGCCCAATACAGTGACTAAATAACCAGGCTGCTTCCTTTATCTTCTTTAGATGGCTCAGTACCAACAACGTTATTTCTCTATTCTCCCACTTGAGGAAGATTACCTGGAAGGCATAGAACAAGCACCTGGTGTGGGGTAGCCTATCATCATGTCTAGAACTTGAGAGTTCATAGGAGAGTGATGGCAAGCAGCAAAATTAAGTTGTTTAAAAAAAAAATTCAATGCAGAAACAGAGCAAAGGGCAGAGGAAGAATCCATCTGAAGGTGGGAGATGAGAGGACTATCTGTCCAGGTCCCTGAAGAAGAGCTTATCGAAATAGTGCAAGAAGAAAGAGACAAAGCAGCAGAAGTTTTGGTAAACCTGAAATATATATAAGACTTAATTTACTCCTAAATAAGTATTGAAGGAGTCTCTCTGAGAAATAGAAAGAATAGTAATCATATCTTCTCCGTAAGCATAGCAATGAAAGCTGGCTAGTGAAAAGCTTAAGTTTGAGACTTCTTTACTATAAAATCAGTAACAGGAGGGCAGAGGAAGTAGGTAAGGATTCATTAATTTCCCTTTGCATATACACTGAAGGATAGATGGCAACTTTTCAGTTATTTATGACTCTTCCAACATAATAATTTAATAGCATGCATTAGTGTTTTTGAGCTATAAAAGAATACTGAACACACCGTAGTTAAGAATGCTATGTCATATTGTCATTGACTTCCAAGATAAGCAGACAGGTTCCCAGAACTTTGGGAACAACTGGGGAAAACAATTACAACAACGATAAATTGTTTAGATGGTTATATTTTCTTGCTGTCACCTGAAAGGAGTAAGTAGATTATTCTGTGTGACAAAACTGCAATCACACATGCCAAAAAAGGAAGAATATCTTTCAAGACTTCTTTATATTATAGTCTAACTGCATATACAACATCACACGGTCAAAGGATTCTCAAACACTGGATAACTCCCTCATGTAGTAAAAGCAACATAAGGAAAACTACTGTAAATTACAGGAGAACATAAGAATGCAAGAATGGTCGTACTGGGTCAGACCAATGGTCCATCTAGCCCAGTATCCTGTCTTCCAACAGTTCCAATGCCAGGTGCTTCAGAGGGAATGAACAGAACAGATGATCCATCCCCAGTCGCTCATTCCCAGCTTCTGGCAAACAGAGGCTAGGGACACTTCAGAGCATGGTTTTGCATCCCTGTCCATCCTGGCTAATAGCCATTGATGGACCTATCCTCTGTGAGAATCTGAGCAATCTCCTAGTAGATAATTCAGTGAAGACCTCTGCTCAATGTGTAGCTGGGATCAAAAAAGCAAACAAGATGCTAGGATGTATAAGGAACAGAATAAAGTGCAACACAGACAATATTATAGTGTCATTATATAAGTTAATTGTGAGGCCTCTTCTAAAATATTGTGTGCAGCACTAATCCCACCATCTCAAGAAGCATATGGCAGAATTAGACAGGGTTCAGAGAAGGGCAACAACAATGATCAAGCGTATGGAAAAACTCTCATATGAAGAGAGTTTGAAAAGAGTGGGATTATTTAATTTACAAAGGAGATGAATAAGAGAGAACATGATAAAAATATATAAAATAATGAAAGCTATTGAGAAGATCGACCAGGAGTGTCTATTCTCCCTGCCTCATAAAACAAGAACAGGACATTCAATAAAATTAAAAATTAGCAAATTAAAAACTGATGAAAGGAAATATTCTTTCACGCAACATACAATTACACTGTGGAACTCATAGCCACAGAAATTGTTAAGTCAAAGAATTTAAAATTTAAAAAAGGGATTGAACATTAGATAACCAGAATATCTAGTTATTATCATTAACAACAACATACTGGGAGGGGTATTAAATGTTCTGGTTCAAGGCTTAAACGAACCTCTAACTATTAGGATCAGGATGAGACCTAATATGGGAGGAAGATTATCCCACAAATACTTATTGTGAGGTTCTTGCACCTGTACTGGCCACTGTCAGAGACTGGGTATTTGACTCAAAGGACCTCAGATCTAGTCCAGCAATGTTGGGGCTTAGAGGACAGCGATCACTGGATGGAAAAAAACAGGAAATATTGAGAGAGTAGAAAAGTGATACTTCCGAGGCATATGGCATTGGTGAGACTATGACTGGAACACTGTGTCCAATTCTGGTGTCCACATTTCAAAGAGGAATTGAAAAAATGTAAATGATTCACAAAGAACCACAAGAATGATTCTACATCTTGAAAACATGACGTACATTAAGAGACATAAGACTCTCAACATATTTAGCTTATCCAGGAAAAGCTAAGGGCTTGTCTAGACTTACCGGAGAATCGACGTGCAAATTGTGAGCCCCTTACTTGCACAACCTGTCCCACTGACTCCAACTACTCATAGTAAAGTGCTCTTCAACATGAGCAAAGGTCAGAATCTGACCCTAAGTGTCCCCACTGACAAGGGTTTGGGGCATTCTATGCAGAAATATGTTTCACCTTGTTTTACTCCTTTTAAAAACTTCTATCATTCACTCTCAACCCATAAAAACCTTCTGGACGTCCTGGAATGAAAGACTTATCAGTGTGAATAATTTCCTGACATCATTAATATTTTTAACCCAATCAAAAGACAAATATAGTCTACAAGTATGTAATTCTCCTGAAAAACACTATAGCCCTAATTCATAAAATAACTTAATTATTTTAAAAAACAAATACTTACGAGTAAAATATGTTAAATCCAGTTAGGTTATAAGCAGCATCACTAAAAAAGTGTAGCAACACATAGCCAGATGTAGTAACTACTTCAGGAACAGTTTCATTTCCCCGCACCTCAGGGACTATTAGACCACTGGAAAAGAGAGATTAAATAAAGGATTCTTACTAATGGTAATAATAAAATAAAAATTATGATTCATCATTAATCATATATCCAACACAATTTGGAAATCTTATGGAGCCTATTTAAATTATATTGAATAAGGCAGGGCTCAAACCCATGAACACTTCTACACCTTGAGAGAGACAGGGTTTCCCAATTGTTTTTTGTAACAATACAAAATTCCACATAAGTTTGCTATCTATGCACATGCATTGCCATTAAAATGTTGGAAGCTAATTATTAAAGACCACATTGGGAAAGATTTTTTCAATGATACAAATGGCATTTAGATGCTCCACTCTCATTGACTTTGACACATCTGGGCACCTAAAAGACATTTGAAAGTCTCCCCCTTTGTTACTAGAATAATTAGTTCACATGCAAAAAGTATGATATTTAACTAAATTCTATGGGAAAATGTAATTTCCACAGGAAAGTAAAATAAATTTTGGATTAAAAACTTTAAAAAGAGAAACTGAATCAATACATAACTGCTTTGAAGCAAAGAAAAAACATACTGTACATAAAACAGTGGATAACCACACAGCAAATTTAAAATAAATTTTAAGCTAAGGAAAACTCAAAAGGAAATTTTAAATATATAATGTACAATATACAATATATAATATAGGTTTCAGAGTGGTAGCCTGTATCAGCAAAAAGAACGAGGAGTACTTGTGGCACCTTAAAGACTAACAAATTTATTTGAGCATAAGCTTTTGTGGACTAAAACCCACTTCATCGATGCATGCAGTGGAAAATACAGTAGGAAGATATATATACACACAGAGAACATGAAAAAATGGTATGGCAACACCCATTTTTTCATGTTCTCTGTGTATATATATCTTCATCGGATGCATGCAGTGGAAAATACAGTAGGAAGTGGGTTTTAGCCCACAAAAGCTTATGCTCACATAAATTCGTTAGTCTCTAAGGTGCCACAAGTACTCCTCATTCTTTTTCTTGAATATATAATATAATAATGTGTAACCAGAAAAAGTGGGAAACAAAAAACCCTAAAAAACAGAAAATCCACTAGGAGCTTTTAGATATTAAAGACTACAAAGAGCAAGCAAACTGTTAAAAAATATTAAATATTTTAGTCGCATACAGAAAAACCGGGGGAAAGGATATTAAAAAGGAGGAATAAACCAATAACCAAGCAACCCAAAATTCAAATACATGTAAACTTTTTATTCATCTCTCTCCTTCAGTATCCGATAGGATTCCCAACTTTCCTTCCCTCTCAATGCAGACCAGGAATCATGCTCCTGAAGGACATCCAACAACTTGTGTAGAGCACAGAAACTTGGGAGACTAGAAGGAAAACTAGCAGCAAGCAGATAACTAGGAGGGATCAGGAAAGGAGGAAGCAGGGAGCTGAGATGATTGTCAGAGTTGGGCAGGAGCCTGGGATGGTTTCATCAGGTGAACGAATAGGCAAGCTATGTTCTGCTAAGAATGAGGTCCATTGGTGCTGTAAAAACTATTTGTTTATTTAACACCAACATGAGCAACACTTTACAAGATGCAAAATAGAATAACATTCCTGCTACAAGGAGACTGTGGATCTTACACCTATTCATTTTAGATATTTTAGGAGAAATCCTGACTCCACTGAAGTCAATGCCAAAACTCCAATTGACTTCAACAGGGCCAGGATTTCACCCACTCCATGTCTATACATGGGATATTAGACATATTTGAATATCTATCCTAGAGATCTAACAGTACAGTCAATGGGTGGAGACAGTCCTAAAATTACGAAAGAAATTCTGTGGCCCAATCATGGAGACACAGGGCCACAAAATGTAAGTGACATGGTAATTTTTTATGGAATGTTTCCCCAAGAGTTTACGGATGGGTAGGAACTAATAAATAAGAATTTCTTTGAATATACCCTAAAAATGAGGAAAAATCAGAAATTTAAGAAGAGTTAAGCTTAAACATCTGTTTTCAGTATCTCACACAATAATTAATTGTTAATTTAGAGGTTTTGGGAGAGCGACCTATTCTTTATTTCAGTTGGTAACTTCTATTGTTATTTGCAAGGCAAATCATTAGACTCATAATACAGTATTATGTCAAATTCGTTACTTGCTAGATACATGGTTATTTCAGAACGGTAGTGTAAAATGATGCCAAATGCGAAAAAGCTAATACAACAAGCATAATCACTTAGAGTTATGCAGCAACATTTTGCAACAGAAGAATGGGTCCTGTACAATCTTTCAGATAGGCAATTTTGTTACTGCATCGGGCTCCTTTACACTGTGATCCTGGTTTTGATACTACTGTTGAAAATGCTACATTTCCTGGGGTGATATTTTATTAAGACATAAATTTGAAAAAAATGCATATTTGCTTTTGTGGCACAGTAAATGGAATCTTATTGCTTTGAAATTTATAGGTGTGTTTCTTGTAGTAAAAAGGGGATTTTTTTTATATACTCTACTAAAAAAAAGACGCTCTTTTATACTGAAAAGCATCTGCTTAATTTCAGGTTTGGAAAAGTCAGACATCTAATTCTACTGTGGACAATATGATTAGCAGAACGCAAAACAAACTGGAATTCTATTTCATATCGACCATATTCCAGCTAACTAAATAAGAACTAAATATTTTTGCTGCAGTATTCCAATAAAACCACTGCAAAATCCTACCTCAACGCCTCATCGTGGCGCAGCGGTGGCCCTGGCCGTCTGACAGTTATGGTAGTGGGGAGTATACCCTGGTAGGTCTAACCATGCTACAAAGGTGTCAGACTATCCAATCCAGGGAGGGGGATTGCTCTCTCAGAAAGAGCGTTTTCCTTCTCCATAGAGGTTGAAGGCTAGCTAAGCTTGAGGAGGTACACATGCCTACCCGCCTAGCCAGTGGGATGGCTTGAAGTTAACAGCTAAAACAACACGAGTAAATGGGATTTAGTTCCCTGCACATCATCGAACCGTTCTACGGTGGCAGAGCGGAAATTGAGTGACGAGAGGCTGCTAAAAATGTGAGGTGCTAGGCCAACATGGAAAAGGACAACCCTCGCTGTGTGTACTTACAACTGTAGATCGCTGGTGAGGGAAGAAACGTTAAACCATCTGATGGAGGAGGAGAAAAGGATAAGATGTGATATCCTTGGTGTCAGCGAAACCCGATGAAAGAAGGAGTTGGAAGTCAACTGGAAGGATGGAAGCGCTGTGAGGCTTGAAAAGGAAGATGGTGCTAGAAATGTTGCAGGAGTCAGATTTATTGTCAGTAAGGATTGGTCTTTGAAAGTTATATCATGCCAGCTAATATCATCACGTATTGGTGTGTTGCATCTTCAGATGGAGTCAAAAGCTACCCTCAAGGTCATCCAGGCCTATGGTCCCACAAGTGCAAGTGAGAACAAAGAAGTGGAAGAATTCTACCGAGAGCTCGAAAGAGCCCTCGTGCAAAAGTCCACTTACACTGTCACGATGGGAGATTTTAACGCCAAGGTGGGGCAGGGGAAAGCTGGTGAAAAGTTTATAGGGAGATACGGCAGTGGCGAAAGAAATGAAAGAGGAGAAAGGCTGGTAGCGATGGCAGAAATCAAAGAACTGTACGTGGCAAACACCTGGTACAAAAAGAAGACCGCAAGAAGGTGGGCGTGGATCGCTCCAAACGTGAAGAGCAAGAATGAAATCGACTATATTTTAGTCAATAAAAGGCGCATCGTTCAAGACATCTCTGTGGTGCAGCCTTTCAGCACTGACAGTGACCATCGCCTGCTTAGAGTGAAGTTGATTTTCGACGAAGCGGTGGAAAAGTAGGCGTTACAGATGGCAAACAGGAAACAGTGGCTGAAGACATTCGATGAAGCTTGCTGAAGAAAGCAATTTCTGGGTTTGACTGGAGCCAGATGGAAAAGTGTGATGAGGACTATAGCATCTTTGCTGACAAGCTGAGACGTTGCATAAAAGCAGCTGAAATTGAAAAGCTGAAGAAGGCGAAGGGAAGAATCTTGAATGAAATGAAAAGCTTGTTGGAGAAGCGGAGAAACATGAAAAGGAGCTTGGATAACAAACTTCAGTACTCCATTCTGTGTAAGCTTATACGGCGAAAACTGAAGGATGACTTTGAGAACTTCCGGAAAGAAAAGCTCCTCAAAACATCTGAATTATGCAAGAGCCTCAAGTCATGCAAGTGGGAATTGACGCAGTATAGATTGAGCGTAACAGAATTGAAGAACAAGGATGGAGAGAGAGCAATCAACAGAGCAGGGATGGAGGAGGTGTGCAAGGACTTCTATACAGAACTGTTCAAATCAAGAATTAATGTCCTTCTCCCAACGCTCCAAGAGTCAGAAGAACGCATCCCTCCAGTAATCGTCAGCAAAGTCCGAAACGCACCGCACCAGATGAAGAAGGGAAAAGCTCCAGGCAAAGATGGAATAACATCAGAAATTATTTCTGCAGGAGGCGAAAAACTTTGGAAAGCACTCGCTTTAAGATTCAGTCGATATCTTGAAGAAGGAAAAATACCATCAAGCTGGAAGGATGTCCTTCAGGAGCATTATTCCTGGTCTGCATTGAGAGGGAAGGAAAGTTGGGAATCCTATCGGGTACTGAAGGAGAGAGATGAATAAAAAGTCTGGACAAACAACAGCCAAGAGAGCAGGCAGGGTTTCGAAGAAATTTTAGCACAATCACCCATATATTTACCCTTAGCCAGCTCCTAGAAAGAGCAAGGGAATACAAACTCCCACTGTGCATTGCTTTCGTCGACTATGAAAAGGCCTTCGATAGCATCGGCTTTAACGCAATATTAAAGGCGCTCACAGAGCAGGGCATTAACACGCAGTACATCAGTTTGTTGAAGGAAGCGAATACTGGATGTACAATAGACATTACTCTCCTCGAAACGCCCCTCCGCATCCCGATCGAGAAAGGCATAAAGCAAGGAGATACGATTTCACTGAAACTATTCACCCCCTGCCTCGAAATGGTTATGAACAATATCAATTGGAGGAGTGGTGTTAACATAAACGGAGAACGATTATCTCATCTCAGACTAGCGGACGACATCATACTAATTGCTGAAAGCACCAACCAACTGCAGAACATGCTATGAACACTCGTCAAGAAAAGTATTCAGGTCGGCCTGAAAATGAACCGCTGCAAAACAAAATATATGCGATCAGACCTCTTACGAAAAGCCCAAACAACAGTAACAGGAGAAGAAATCGAAGAAGTGAAACAGTACATATATTCGGGCCAAGAAGTTAATATGCGCCAAGATCTGAACGGAGAACTCTCGCAAAGGATTCGGACAGGATGGTGTGCATTTAATTCCATCAAGGATGTCCTCAGAGGAAAAATCGACAAGTACAAATATCTTCAATTCAACAGTGCTGCCAGCCATGCTGTATGGCAGTGAAAAGTGGGCACTGACGAAGAGAGAAGAGCAGTGGCTGATGGTAGCTGAAAGGGCAATGGAACAAGCTATGTTGGGAATTTCCCTTCTGGATCGCATCCCAAATGAAATGATCAGAGAATGCAGCGGTGTGAAAGATATTGTCGTGGAAAGCAGATATAACAAGATGCGATGGGCCATGGACCATGACTATAGACATCTAAACTTTTATGTACTCACTTTCCTTTCCATGAGCGGATTCTCTTTAAATTATTTTCTACATATTACTACAGGACTCTGAGGAAAAAGCTTCTGAAGCACTGACATATATCAGAACTTTTTAGTCCATTACTGTTTGCTCTGGCCTGCAAATTGCCTACCGCAGCCTAGACAGTATAGTAATTGGCACCCTATAAATATCTAACTCAGACATGATCCAATTATAATTATTCATATTATCTAATGATAACAATAGAGCAATCAAGCCCTTTTGTGATTTCTGCTGTTAACAAGTTTGAGGATACTTTTGAGCTTTGATATCTCAAAGGCCAGGCTGTTAAGTACTACCCAGACATATTTTTTATTTTTAGTCACAATACTTTCCATTGTGATAGACAAAGAAAAGACCTTGTATAACTGGTAATTGGGACTGCCTCCACACCGATATCCCTCAATAGATGGCTTCAGTGGTCTATCTGTAATGGGCTTAATGGATATCCTTCATGTCTTATAAGCAGTACAATGTCTTTGTTGCATAAGTCATAAATTCTATGATTTTCCTTTAACTATATTAAGCAATTTCCCCTCTCCTTTGTTGGCCAGTCTCCCACTTCCATTAAAAAAAAAAAAAAAACCACCCTCAGTTGATATCAGGAATCTACTGGAAACTCACTCTCTCTAGGATGGCACTCATATTAGCATTAATGTTCCAGTGCAATGTCAGCATTGAACATAAGACAGGAAAGGAATTTTGTCTTACGCAAAGGCAAAAGTTCTATGTTGTATTTCCATTTGGCAACTTATTCTACCATCAGTGTATATTTCCCACTAATATTAATGAGAGAGAGAGCAAACTACCAATAGCAAATTAAAACCTCTAGTGCTACTTTTTCCTCACATTAATAATATTTTATACTAATACTAGTACTAAAGAACTATTAAATAAAAATACTCACCTAAATACAGCTATTAAAGGTGCATATACTGAATCTCCATCATAAACATACATATGGTCCCAACTACATTCTGTGGCAAAATGATTAAATCTTAATCTTAATATTGCATTAGGACTGAAAGAAGAAAACAATAAGAGCATATTACAGTGATATATTGTTTAGCAGAAGCATAGACTGATAATACAATTACATAATAAAAATAACTTGTAGAGTATAGTAAAATTAACCATAGCATCCTAATATTACATTATTAAATACAAACATTCTTCTTAAGTGCTAATCATAACTTGTGCAGATAAAAGTTGGTATAAAACCAGATTTAAACCAGCCAATTATTTAATTTTTTTATCTTAAAGTATTTTAAAAGTCATGCTTACAATTCAAGGCTAATAATTATTAAAATTACCCATGGATATTACTACCATAAAGTTTTGAAAAGGGCTACTGTCAATGTTTAAATTTAGGCTTTGATAAAAAGTTTTCAAAACTTTGTACTAATACAAAATTTAAATTAATTTTATATTAAAATGTCAATACTAAAGATTGTTGAGTGACTACTAACAATACTACACCTTCCAATATAAAACGCAGGAATGTGTGGTGACTTCAAAGGGAATACAATGCAGCATCTGGGACTTCAACAGGATTTATCATGGGACTAAGTGAGCCCACCTCCATCTTGGCCAATGCACCAGAAATAGAACCAGAAACCTCCAGAGCTAAATGCTCACCTCGCTAGCCAGGATGTGCCTTTGATGATGCCAGAAGCAATTAAGACAGCCTCTGGAGTGTGCAGGACTGAATGGGGGTCTCAACCAACAGCAGCTAGGTCAATGCTAAATGTGCTCATCCTGTTCCCTCTCCCATCCTGATGGCCTGCAGCATGTGTGTATGGGAAAGGGGGAAGGTGCTGCTTTCTTTTCCCCCTCAGCCTATTCACAGGCTTTCCCCATGCTGCAGGCTGAGGCAGGGGAGTGCGCTCATCTCACATTGCATCTGGGCACTGGATTTTGTTTCACCCACTCCTGCTGCCAGTGGACAGGGGTGTTGTGATGAGCCAGCTGATTAGCTCTTCCCCGCCAGAGTAGGAAAGGGAGGTGGGTGGCTGAGACAAGTAGCTGTTGGGCTCTCTTTTTCAGCCCCTCTTATCTAGAATGCTCTATTTTTTATGATGCCAGGGGCTAGTCTGATCACTAATCTTTTGTTTGGCAATATTGGCAAACTGTTGTATGGGTTATTTCACTTTCCACGCGGCATCCCAGAGGTCTGTTTTGGGAGTCTGTCAGGTTCCAAAGAAGATGGTGGGTTAATAAAGGATCTGATGTGAGGTCTATGTAACCCAATGGGTTGCTAGAGCATTGGACTCAAGCATGCCATTGCATGGTGAAGGAGTAGGCCTCCATGTCTTGTACAGCATGTGGTTTTCCATATTTCATCTCTCCTACCTCCTGTGTGAAGGAGGGTTCAAAGTCTGGCTTCTAGCCAGGGTACATGGGCAGGGCTGAGATTTTAGAGCAGTGTTTCTCAAACTGGGGCCTCCGCTTGTGTAGGGAAAGCCCCTGGCGGGCCTGGCCGGTTTGTTTACCTTCCCCGTCCACAGGTCCGGCCGATCGCGGCTCCCCTGGCCGCGGTTCGCCGCTGCAGGCCAATGGGAGCTGCTGGAAGCAGTGGCCAGTACGTCCCTCGGCCTGCGCCGCTTCCAGCAGCTTCCATTGGCCTGGAGCAGCGAACCGCGGCCAGTGGGAGCCGCGATCGGCCGGACCTGCGGACGGGGCAGGTAAACAAGAGGCTTTCCCTACACAAGCAGAGGCCCCAGTTTGAGAAATACTGTTTTAGAGGGTGCATCACCCTCATACGGATGCACAGGGGTCAATGGTGCCTGGTTGAACTCCACATTGGCACAGCCCTGCTAGATACTTGGATGGAGATAGGGTTTCCTGTTAATAGTTTAAATAAAGTTGAGGCCTCCACATTTAACCACACTATAGTGTGCATGTCTCACTGTTTCTGCGACTGCACCAAAGCACAATTCTACAGAGCTTGAATTAAAGAGCCATTATCTAAAACTGAGAGCTGTAATAGATCCATATCCCCTGTGGCTCAGGCACAGTTGACAGTGCATAACACACAGCGACCAATGGATAACATAAGAACTAGGCACAGTCTTGTTTGGGGAAAATCAAATGTAGAAAGGAAAAAAAGCTATCTTCGAAAACGGTAACTTTAAGACGGTCTCAAAATAATTATAACAGCATCTATGCCTTTCACAAATGAAGTCAAAACAAAGTATTGTAAAATATACAAAACCACCACAGATCTTGTCTCAGAGAAAAAGGCCTTTTTTTAAACAAATATTTATGAAAGCAACACTTGTTACAGGATTGAAACTCTCAAATAGAACATAGCATAGGAATATTTGTGACCACTAAACTGTTCTGAATGCATGCAGTGTTTGTACATATTCTGGTGACAACTGACATTCATGCACTGGCTGATACTTGAAATCTTGCTGTGACAGTGGCAGACTAGGCCAATTCACTTGTGTATTGGTATAGATCATAGTGATTGTTCAATGTATGAGAGTGTATTTGGTGTTTAAACTTCATATAAACTATTGGGATGTTAAATGCATTGTTTTCACTTATCTGTATCCTGTTATAATGTAGTAGTAAACATTTACATTGTATATACCCCTATCATTAAATAACGCATCAAACGAGAAAGAAGCCTTGTGGAATGCAAATAAAAAACTTTTCCGTTGAAGTGCTAATTTCAAAGCAAGTGGTCATTGTGTGTGATAATCAGAGGTCAAAGACTCAAAATGCATTCCTCACTTTCCATCAAAGAAAAAGCCCAGGTGGATAGTGACACTGTCAGCTTATTTTCTGTGAGAAGAAGCTATAAATATGCATTCAAGGAAAGATACAGGATCTCTCGATTGTTTTGACTTTTATAGGGAAGTGCACTACTAAATGCAAAGATCCCCAGAGACAATCTGGGTACCCTGAAAAGACTTTTGGGAAAATGGCAGTTTATGATGTCACTGCCACCATTTGGAATTACAAATTGTGACTCATCTGTGAATATATTTTATCTGCTTTAACTTCTCAATAACTCTCAGGCTTCCTTTTCTTAGCTAATAAACCTTCAGCTACTTTACTACGGAACTGGCTAGAATTTGGTGTAAGATCTAGAGTACCAATTGATCTGGGGTAAGTTACTGGTTCCTTGGGACTGGAAGCAACCCAAATGTGATGTGATTTTTGATGTAAGTAACCAATTTATCCCAAAAGTCCAGTTTGCCTGGATGGCAAGATAGACTGGAGAGTCTAAAGGGACTGTTTGTGACTCCATGGTAAGGCTGGTAATAGTAATCCAGGAGTCCACATTCATTACTGGCTTGGTGAAATCCAGTTATAGAACACACCACCAGCTTGGGGAATCTGCCCTGTTTTCTGACAGTCTGCCCAGAGGTAGGCACTCACGGTCGTGAGCTGCTCCAGACAGCATGACAATTGTGAGATGCAAAAAGTTCAGACTCCATGATATAGCTAATAAAGTTTTAGTCCTGAACTCTAATGGTATATTGCTGAGACAGTGCTATGTAAAAACTTTCAACTGGAAGCAAGGGGTGCTATATTGTTCAGTGATTTTATTATGAGGGTAAATGCTAGGGATTATGAAGATTTCAACCCAGGATTCTTAAATCAGAGGCTATGCTACTTAACCACATATGAAATGCCCTTATAAGCATAACTATAAAGGAAATGAATCCACTGTATACGAAGGCTATGTTTTGTAAGAGATCCTCTAGTATTATACATGTTCAAAATATTAGGGGGTTATATTACATGTATATAAAGACTGCTCAAAGGGATCCTGCTGTTTCTTTACTCTTCAAAGTAATTCATTCAGGCTATTCACCTTCAGCTCCTTGACACCTGCTGGGCATATTTCCAGTTAAATGGCATTAGTTTGGCCTTTGGATATTTTCTGTACTTTAAGCTACTCCTGATACATCACTGAGGAGAACAATAACATCATGCTAGATGACAGGGTTCTGTGACTATATATGGGGCACACAACATGTTTTAATAATCAAACAGACAATAAAAAATTATTATAGGGTTTTCAAAAACGTGGAGTGTTGGCCTAACTTTTGTCATTGACTTCAGTGGGAAGAAAGTTAGCCCAACTATGACCACTTTTGAAAATCCCACCCTAGCTTTTTAACTTTAATAATTATCACTGTTAAAAAGTTTAAGAAATGTACCTGTATGCTTAGCATCCAGGTGCTTTAAACAGAACATATACTGAATTAACTCTCTAAACCACTGGAGTAAACACATCATACATTAAACAGTTAGATCTATTTAAAATATATACTTACTATCCTTCAATTAACCATGTACATTTCGTTTTATATTTATAATTTATTGGTCCATCTGTTAAATATCCAGAGGGTTCTGTTAACCTAAAAGAGAAAAAACAGTAATATAATAAACCTTAAGACGTTTCTTGAAGCACAGTAGCATAAAAATATCAACACCCAATTACAGATGTTTGGATGGGGTGACAATCAGAATCTTTTATCTTGGAGGTGGCTTGCATTTGTTTAATAATCTGAGGCTTCATATCCTGTATCTTTTGTTTCAGTGTATTATAAATGCAGATGGTGATATATCACCACCAGTTTATTTCCTTTGCCTCAAATATTACTCGAAGCTACTTTAACTTGCATCTTCTTCTAGCTCTGTGGTGTGCAAAAATTACACACAACTTACACTGCCCTTCACAGAGTGGGTCTAGCAGAGTGTAAAGAAAGGTTTAATTTGTGTCATCTTACACACTGCCTCTGAATTTAGCCCATAGCATCATTGCGGAAGGTTGTCAAAGTTTCACTAAAATAAATGGAGCTCTGATCATTTACACCCTCTCTGTCTTACTCTGTTTACCACAGAAGAAAGAACGAAAGTTGAAATTCAGAGTGGCAGTTGTCAACTAAATACAAAATAAAAACATTTTACAAGTGATGATTAAGTAAAAGATCAGAACACATATACATACATATTAATTGTTCTTGCTAGAACTATTATGCTTCCATTCTTATCTTACATGCCACTGAGCCAGAACAAGGTGTAACTTGCAATTCCCTTACAAAGTAGTAGTAGAATGGATATAGGTAGATCTGAGGAAGTCTTGAGCTGGTTACAACTGGGTGGAAAACAACTAAATTCTCTCACCAGCAGTGTAAGTGCACAAGGATCTAGCTTATGTCACCATCATCTCTGAATTTGCCCATGTATGTACGTGTGCAAAAAGTGGTCTACAACTTTTACTGAAAATGAATTACATTTAAACTTGAACTGACTTCAAGAACTCAACTCCTAACTGCCCCTCTGCCACCCTATCACTGAGGTCCGTTATTCCAAATTTCAGGCTATAAACACCTGGAAGTGCAGTTGAGATCAGAGATACAGAATCCTTGTTCTATAAAGGAGATTGTTGCTGCTAGAGAGGTATCTGTGAGGACCTTTATCTTTGAAATTCACTCCCTCAGTCTGCCAAGTCTGAAATTTGTTAATCTTTAAGGCACACTGCAATGCCCACCTTTTAAGAGAGAATTAACAAGGTGGTAGTGATTGAGATTTTTTTATTCTTTTTTGCCAGGCTATTGGTGATGAGGTGGGGTTGATGTAACTGTAATAATTACTTAATTTTGAAAATCTTTCAAAAGCACCTAGGAGGTGCTAATAGGTGTTTTTATCTTTTATCTTCATAAATGTAGAGAAACAGAAAACCACTGAACCACTGAAAAAAGGGTGGCAATATGGGTGGCAGAGTGGGGGAAAAATAAGCATACCTCAGTCAGCTGCCTTTGTAGCAAGAATTCTCCCCTGCCCCAGCAGCCAATTATTAAGTCTTGTAACTGACTCCTCGGCAAGGAGTCGCTGTGAGCACTGTGGTAACCCGTTCCCTAGATTACTGGTAGCATGCTGAGTGTACAATGTGCTTAGAGACAAGTGCTGTGGGCACTCTGAGGTCTAGGTCCTGCAGGTTCTAGCCTCTGGTGGTTTCCCATGAACACTCACAAGAGTTTGATGAATAACGGGGGGCTGTTTTTCTAGAGCTGACAAATATTCTGATTACCCTAGGCATGATTGCTTTAAGTTACAAGCAAAAGATGAACCAACAGTTCCTAATTCAACCCCTAATTCAGGGGTCTGAAGGTGGAGCGCCTCCAAGCCACCTCTCTCATCATGCACCAGCCAGCAGATCCCCCAGATAGAATTTAATCCTTTTGTCTGTCTTATTCAGACCTGCACACAAACACACTGTTTGCAGGCCACATCCAATCATCTACCTGTCTCATCTACCTCTGCCCCCTTGCCAGTAACAGGCTGTTTCCCAGCCAAGCTCTCAGCCTTTCAAGATATATCTACACTGCAATGTAAGCCCAGGTTAGTGGGACTCAAGTCAGCTGAACAGTGTTAAAGAACCCTAGATTTGAGCACCTACACTTCTTTTTAACACTATATTAAGAACTTTCTAACCCAAGCTCTAAACTGGGGCTCTAGCATCCGCACTGCAGCAAACAGACTCAAGTCCCAGACCCCCGACACACTCACAAAATGCAGCTGCTCCAGCCCTTTGTCCAGGGTGGACTGTGGGTAAACTTTACTGCTCACCCTGCATGTTACAGGAGATTTGAACAGTCTGCCAATACAGCCTGCCACACAACATGAAGACGACCCCTTTTCGAGAATGTCTCTTGCTTGCATTTTCACGCCTGTGTCAGGAAACAAGCAGAGCTTCTGTGAGATGCTGGTGGACATTTCGGCAATGTTTGCTAACCCACCAAAGGCACCTTACAGAGCTTCAGATGGAGCAGCAGGAGGCAGCAATGGAGAAAAAGTACCCTGGCATAGCATACTCTCACTGGCTGATACTGCTCAGTACACTCAGTATAGCTGCTGATGCCCCCTACATAGATCGGCATTTCTGGGACAGGGCCACAAACACAGACTGATGGGACCACATCATCATGCAGACCTGGGATGACCAGCAGTGGGTCCAGAACTTTTTCATGAAGAAAGCTACATTTCTGGAGCTCTACAAGCAGCTTGTCCCAACCCTCCAGCATAAAGAGAGACACATGAGGGCACCCTTGCTGGTGCAGAAGCAGATTGCTATAGCCATCTGGAAGCTGGCTACCCCAAACTGCTAGAGGTCCATTTCCAACCAGTTTGGTGTTGGAAAGTCAACTGTGGGTAAAGTGGTGGCAGAGGTATCTGAGGTAATCAGGTGCGTGGTTTACCCCAAGGTGACAGGCATAAAAGATATTCCAGATAATTGCTGGCTTTGTGCCCATATGCCCAAAGTTTACCCTCCTCACCGAGCACATGAACACAAGAACTGCAAAGGGTACTACTCCATTTTTATGCAGGCCCTCATGGACCTCAAGGTTGATTTATGAATGCCAATGTGGGAAAACTCATGATGCCAGGGTTTTTTGCTGATCGGGAGTCTACATTCATGGATAGGCTGGGACACTATTCCCACCAAATGACATTATCATAAACAGAGTTACTGACCCACCGTTATTTTGGGGGGCCCACATAACCCCATTTGACTTGGCCTATGAAACTATACCTAGATTTGAGAGGCCCTGACAAAAGACTATTTAATTACACTCTCCACAGGCGTAGAATGGTTGTTGAATGTGCTTTGAGCAGATTGAAATCCTATTAGAGAGGTCTACAGGCCTATTTGGATGCTAGTGTCATTAATGCTGCTGCATCACTGTGGCTTCTTGGACTCTTCACAATCTCTGTGAAGCCAGAAATGAGCCATGTCCCCCAGTGGAGTTATGACAGTGAGGGGCTGTTGAATCAGTATACTTAGCTACAAAGTGCACCTACCTACACTGGAGCTGGATGCACTCAGGCAAACAGAAGTCAAGGATGTTTTGTGTTCCAACATTATGGAGTTGAAGAGGGTAGTATCACTATAAATGTGCTAGTGCAGGAGAAGGAGGAGGCTAATTGATTTGGGGGTGGTACAGTGCTTGAAGAAGGGTAGAGCTTGATTGCCATGCAATGTACTTATGAAAGACATGCTTAAATATTAATTGGGGAGATGATTCACAGTATGGATTCATATAAGAAAGTGCCTGAAGTGTGAACTGCTCTACTTACCAGCTTCGAGGAGCAGCTTATTAATTCCAAGTTGTTCCTGGTCATATGTTTAGCTTTATTATTTCAAATCAGGATTGTATGATGAGCTGCAATGGCAGCAAAAAACTCTCTTGATGACATAAAAAGCTTTATTTATAATCGTGTTAAAATAGTACTAAAGTCACCCACTGCGAGGCAGACCAGCTGCCATTACAACACCCATACACCAGTTACAAAAGAACATTTCCAAAACAGGGTGCATGAACCAGTACAAACATGTGCCCTGGCCCCCTGTTCTCCTTTCCCTTCTTTTCTCATTTGCCATGCACTTGACATCGGGGATGGAGGTATCCACAGGTGATGGGGTCTAGATGGAAGTCTGTATGTGGTTTAGAAATAGCCTTAAGACAGAAAACTGGCATTAACATACAAAATGGAAACTTCTATTGGTTGATTTCAGATAAATTAAGAAAATAGGGCCAATTTTCTGCAAATATTACATTATTTTGTGCTTCAGAGTTGCGATTTGATCCTGCAGTCACACTGAATTAACATTGAGTTTGGCCTGAGTAAGTGACTGGCAAATCTACAACAGTCTAGGTGTTCTCAAATAAAACCATAATGAAGTGTAACCTGACATCCCTAGCAGTAGGATCAGGTTGTTTAACACAAGAGGAGGTTGAACTCAGACTGTTGGTGTTGAGTCTTTGTATACAATTCATAGATTCATAGATTCTAGGACTGGAAGGGACCTCGAGAGGTCATCGAGTCCAGTCCCCTGCCCGCATGGGTCTTTGGATGGAGTGCAAAGATTAATAGATTTCAGCTGAGTAGGAACTAAATTGGTGTCTTTTCATAGACAAATATAAATACAGCGGTATAATAGTCCTAAAACTCTATACTTTTGCCCCCAGATACACTTTCTGGTATACAGTTTGTTTAAGTACAGGAGAGAATTCTTGCACAATTGCTTTTGGCTATTTTACCCACGAGATACATATTTATTCAGTTGTTTGGGCAGCGGTGGAACTGAAGTGGACATATAACTTACCCATCTTGTCTCTCTAATATAACATAAAGGCATAAATGCTGCATTATTGATCTTGAAATTGGGTCAGCACACTCAAGCAGAGCCCCACTGAAGTTAATTGCTCTCTGCTCGGGTGGAACCTTGTGCCAGTGCAAATCCGATTACAGGATGGGGCTTATGTTTGGATGTGTGCTCTTTCACCACCTTTAAAACATTAACCCTCTAGAAAAAATGGGAGCATGATATCAAATTCCAATTCAAGTAATG